CCGCCCGGATCCCGCGCCCCGACGCCTCCGCGCAGGCAGAGCCGCCTCCGGCCCCCGCGCCCTCCCTGGAGGGGCGCGCGCTCTGGCTCTCCGAGGGCGCCGGCTGAGAGGCTGCAAGGCGGCACGCGACGCGCCCCCCCACCCGAAAGCCGGGACTCCCCGCGAGGCTGTCAAGGGGGAGGTGGGGAGAGACCCCCCCCCAACTCCGGCAGGTGTTTGTGCAGAGGCTGGAGGGGCCGGCGCGGCTGTTGGCCGTTTCCCCGAAAGCAGCCAGGACCCCCAATTCCGGACTTGGGCCGAGGCTGGGCCAGTTGATGCTTTTGGAAAAAACCAGCCCTGCGAAGTTGGGCGATGGAAAAGGCGGAAGAAAATGGACCAACTGGGGCCTGCCGCTCTGTGTGTTGTGTGATTAACAAATAATAATAACACAAACACCAACATTTTTCTCTGTGATCCATTTTTAATAAGACATCCTTTGTTTTCTTAAGCAGCTGCCACCCTCAACAGCCTTTCTGCAGGTTTTGCCCCTGCAAAACGGTTGCGTCATTGGTATTATTTTACAAATATTTACAAAGCCTTTTTAATTCGGTTTTTAACTCTAAACAAGGATAACAAAAACAAAAAACTTAAAAACTACAATATTTTAAAAATATGTAAACAGTTTTATTTTACATCGTTGTAAAATATAAGAATTGTTCCTAATGCAGCTTAAGTTGCTTTAAAGTGAGCGTAGTATCCCTGTGCCTGGGATTAAGGAATGAGAAACTCTTTCATAGAAATATTGTGCTCCAGTGTGCAAAAAGGGAACAGAACAGAATCGAGAGTGCACAACAGTGAGAAGACCACAGAAGTCCACGTTATCAAACACCGAAACGAGGTTGCCGCTAATCCATCTGCGGCCTGCGGGGCTTAGGAGTCAGAGAAGGAGCGATCGCACAGAACGAAACAGGTCTGGCCAAAAATGCAGCTGGGTTAAGAGAAATTAAAAAACAGATCAGCTTTGCAGGGGGCGGGAGGCTGGGCAGAGGGCATTTAACTTTGTGCAACTGCAAGGAATTACAGCCCTGCCCCTACTTGGGCACCGCTGAATCGAATCGACTGTTCACCTGTGCAAAACTGTTCCTAGGTGACCCCCTGAAGGAGCACCTCTGTGCATAAATATGTCACTGTACTTTTTGTGCAGGCTTATTCTGCATCCGGTGCATTACGCAGCAGCAGAATTATTCGGAAGTTGCAAGGCTCATTTTTCTTGTTTTGAGCGAGGCTGCCGGTGGTCCTCCCTTTCTAATCTAAAAAGCGGTGGAGAGGAAGGGGGGGCTTAAGAGGGGGGGGGAAGGTGCTGCTTTTTGGGGAGCTGCAGGACAGCAGCCTTGAAGGAAGGAATTTAACGCTAAGCCGACCTCCAGCGTGAGATTATACTCTGCGTCACCAAGCACGAGATTCACACCCGGGTACCATGATTGCGAGGCTGCTGAGTTACTGGCGACTCTTCAAGAGAGGTTCTTCTTTTTGTTGATAAAGACTTTGATGGCTCCGGTGAAATCGGCAGAGAGAAGCACCTCGGTGTGGTCCGCCTTCAAGGCTCCTTAAAAGACAGAAGCCGCAGTTTTAGAAAAGAGGGCCAGGAAGTGGGGGGAGAAGAGGGGCGGCTTGCAAAAGACCATGCTGGCTGGGGAATTCTGGGAGTTGAAGTCCAGAAGTCTTAAAGTGGTCAAGGTTGGAGACCACTGCTTTGGAGAACAGGTTGACCCCCTCTTTTTTGTGGCAGGCCCTCAAATATTGGAACATTGTTATCACGTCACCCCTAGTCCTTCTTTTCATTAAACCCGACATACCCAATTCTAGCATTATTATTATTTAATATTTCCAGAAGACCAGAAGCTGCAGGGGCTGGAAAATTGGGGCTCCGTGGCCTTGTGGGCCCAGAGCATGTTTGTGGAAGCTTCAGGGAAGCTCTTCTGGCTTTGCTGAGAATTTGGGGAGCTGGAACCCCACCCCTGCAGAGGACCCCGGGCCAGAGGAGGCCATCCGGGACACCTACCAGAAGGAATGGGGTCTGCCGCCACTGAATCCTCACTTTTGCTTTCTCCAGGGGGCTTCTCGGCTGTTTCGGAGGAGACCATCAGGCTGGGGTTCGGGGCGAAGATGGCGGAGGTAACCACAGCATTATGTGCTAGAAAGAGAAGGAAGCCTGTGAGGAGCCTTCTCTGAGGGGATGCGGGAGACGAGAGAGCTCGTCTGCGCAGTTGTGTGTGTTTGTGGACCAGATCCAAGGCAGAGAATCGGCAGCAGCAGCAATTACGAGGGAGACGTTTTGGCTGTGTTGTTGTGTACAGGGATTTTATTCTGTATATCCTCTAGGGAGGCTTTTCGACCTTGAGGGCAACTCAGAGGTAATTTTGGGGGCTATTAAGCTTCTCCAGAAAATTTACACATGGAAAAATGCTGCAGCTCCCCTTTCCCCAAATACGTCCCCCACCAGCTGGTTCCATGGCTGGATTTTTACAAGCTGATGGTTGCAGCTGATGGTTTCTTGAGGCCCCTGGGCAGGGATCAGCCAGCTGCTCCCCCCCCCCCCGGTCCTACACCAAAGCCCACCCTCCCAAAGCAAATTCAGGGGCCCAAGGGGGGGTGCATGTCTGCTTTACCTTTGACCCCCTCCCAGAAGTCATTGCGATCTCTCCTGACGGAGGAGAATTTGCTCAGGTCGTGGTAGGTGCTCCAGATGTACACATACTTGTCTTCAGAGCCACTGACGATGTAGGTGAAGTCGTGGCTGAAGGGGGAGAGAGGAGATCCCTTCGCTTCAAGATCTCCTTTGCCTCCCCTGCCCCTCCTCATCAGGAAGCCCCATCGAGGCGAGCAGGTCGCAAGTTCTGAATTCAGGAGATGTTTCTTCCTGCCCTTCAACCAGGAGTTCTGAACCAGCCCCCCGTTGTCCCCCGCCGGTTCACTTTCCCGGGCCTCGAACCCCCTTCCTCACCTGAAGCTGGCTTTGATTTGGCTGCTGCTGTTGACGTAGCCCTTATACTTCATCGAAAGAGACAGGTCCCGCAGATCGTAGAGCCTGATGCGCGAGTCGTTGGAGGTTACGAGGATCTAGCAAGGCAAGGAGGCATTGTCCTTCGTATTTTGACCCAGACTGGCAGATGCTCCCCTGTGCCACGCCTGGGATTCGCCCTCATAGCTGTTATTCCGCTGCTCCCTCCCTACTGCGTCCTTTGCCAGCTTGACATCAGCAAAGGCGAAAGGGGGAGAGATTGGAATGGGGGGGGGAGGCTGAGGGGCTGTGGAAGGAGAGCCGGCCCTGATTGTGAGGAGCACCAATCAAGCACAAGGTCAGCAAAAGGAATGTGGAGATGGGAAAGTTGTTTCCAAAACAACCGGAGGACTTTCAATTGGACATTGACTGATAAGGGGGGGGGAGGAGGGTGGTTAGGGGAAAAGGGTAAATTAACCATCATTTTGGAGCCAAGCCAACAGACTCTGCCTGCTCTAATCTGTAGCCACTTTGTTCTCAGTAAACTATACTCTGGGGGAGGGGGGGGGAACTGAACCAGGGGCTTTTCTTTGCTAATTAAACAAGTGGGATGAATGACATTAGCTTCCAAAAAAAAGAGCCAGATGTCTTCTGATTGACCTGGGTTTTAAATGCTGTCATGGCCCAAATTCCGTTGGGCCTGTGTCTTGAAATCGCCTGCATTTACTGCACTTAGAGCCCCCCAGCCCCCAGGAGGTCACACCCCGGGACTCAGCCCGGCCTGCTGCTACCTTGTTTTCACCCGGCAGGGGCTCGATCCCTGTGATCTTCCTCCCCACTCGATTCCGTCCTCGGGTCGACCGCACGTGGATCTGAGTATGATACTTGAGATGCTAAGGAGAAATGCGGGAGAAGGGAGAAGATGCCCTGAGATACAGAAGGTGGCCACGGAGGTGGGCCCTGCGGAGATCAGCAGGAGGAGCCGGAAGAGGCCGGCTTCTGGAGGCTGAAAGGTGGGGGTCTTTCCAGGGGCTCACCTCAGTGTCGTAGAAGATACACCGGCCGTCGTAGGTACCAATCACGGCGTATTTGCCATTCTGGCAAAAGTTTGCAGCGGTGATCAGCTTGGTCTGCCCATCCACCTCGTTCCAGAGGGCCACCTTTTTGTCAGGAATGTTCCAGAGCCGAAGTTTGCCGTCCAGCGAGCCGCTTAAGAAGTATCTGTCATCCTAAAAGGGGCCAGAAGGAAAGAGCCCTTTTTATCTCAGAACTGGGATATCAATATCAAGGGAGAGGCATCTTGGCAGCCACACTTGGCACCTGCCGGAGGACAATCTTGGGCCTGTCTGCTCCAAGGCGATGCCCGAGATGTCCTCAGCCACGTTTGGGGATGCTGGATCTCTCCTTCCCTCTCAGGGCATGCAAACCCACTTCCCGTGCAAACTGGGTTGAAAATGTAGCACAGAGTTAAGAAAGGGGCCACCGGCACTGACCCTGGGATGGAAGGCGATCGCCGTGACAAAGTCGATGTGCTGGAAACAGCACAAGCATTCCCGCCGGGATATGTGCCAGAGCCGGACGGTCTTATCCATGGATGAGGAGAGCAGGAAGTAATTCTGCAGAACACGAACCAAAGGGAGGGGGGATGTCTGTGGCGTCCAAACTACAGAAGGAGCCTTATTTATGTACTGATCAAACTTCTTAGCCACCTGCCTCCTTACAGGTCTGAGTGGAGGACAGGACCCTGAGTGCTTGTGGCCCCAGCCAAAGAAATACAGGAGCGAAATGACACTTCTTGTGCACTAACGGGCGATAACTGAGAAGGGAGGATTCAAACCTAGTTTTGGAATCCCCAAAGTAATCAGGGTTGGGGGTAAACCACAGAAGAACATTTTTGATCTCTCTCCGGTTTGGTTGGCAAAAAGGGGAGGTGCCTTGTCAGGTGTTTGCTGGTTATTTTCAGGAAGGACCACACAATACCCAAGTGCAATTCCCTGGCACCCGGGGATCGTAACTAGGTTCAAACATAAACAGCCGGAGGAAATGAGGCCCTTACTTTAGACCAGGACAAATCCAGGAGGTCGGCCGTGTGCCCTTTGTACTTGCAGAACGGCCGCTGCCGAAACGGCGTGCTCTTGTCGTCGAGGTCCTCGTCGGTCCCACTACAAACCTGAAAAGCAGATGTAAAAGAATGACAGACAGTCCCAACCGGTGACATCCCGCCTCTTCCTGGATGCAGGTAGGGAAACCAGCGCCCCCCCCCAGGTGTTTTCAGATGTGGGGGACATCAAGACCCTCCCCCATTCCTGGCCATTCCCACTAAGGAAAACTGATTTGAGCGCCTGCAACTAGATGAGGGAAGTGTGGGGCATACCGAAGCCATTCCTCTCGGAAATCCTGTGTTTCTCGGCTGTGGCGACTTTAAGAGGCAGGGGCTTCAATCCCAGAATTCCCCAGCCAGCAGAGCAAAGCAACTGTGGGGGGCTGCAAAGGGCTATTTCAGGGGTGAAGGACAGATAAGGGTCTTCCAGGGGGACCCCCAGCCTTGTGGCCACAGCCTCCTCACTCACCCCCGTATCGTTATCTGACTTGGCCGAGTTCAAACTCTCCTGAGATGGGGAGGGGGAGACGCGGCCTGCAAGGCAAGAGAGGAAAGCAGCTGAAGGGGGCTTCTCTGAAGAACTGCCCACTTCCTGCTCCAGGCCCAGAAGCTGGAGGTACCTTCCGAGTTATACTTCATCCGCATGTTGTTGAAATAATCAAAAGCCGTCTTCAGCACCCAGATCCGCACGAGGTTGTCCTGACCCGCTGAGGCCAGCAGCCGGCCGCAGTGCGAAAACTTCATGGTCCAGACAGCTCCCTGTCCGGAACGGCAATCCTGGTTAATGAGCCCTGCGCTAAAGGACTGCATGCGCAGCCCCTCCAGCCAGGCCATGGGGTGGCAGCTCACCATGTGCTCTCCGCTGAGATCCTGCACGACTTTCACTTGCTCAAAGTCGTAGGGCCCCTTGAAGCCGTGAGCGGCTTTGAATTTCACCGGCCGGGTATACGGCATGCCTTCATCGTCGCTGGACGACGGATCGTCTTGATCGGTGTGGAAGACTGAGAAGGGAGAGCAGGCGAGGATCACAATTACAGCCTCCAGAGGTAGCCAAAAGGTCAGCAAGAATGAAAACCTTCCACTCCCCCCCCTCCCCATAACTCTGCCTTTTACACAGCACTTTTTTTGAGAGCTGAATGTAAGGAAATTTCATTTTAATGTATGCTGATTAAAATAGAACAAAGATTCTATTCCATTTCATTCCATTCCATTTTGGATGCAAAGATATGGCGAGATGAGCATGGAAGCTGTTCCGTGCCGAGGAGGGGGGCTTTTCCCTGTCTTGACTCCTGTTGTGACCCAGGAATGCCAAGGGGGGAACATTGGGGTGGGGAGGGGTTGGCTTGCAAAACCAGTGGCGGACACTTTTAGCAATATTTCAGTCATCGCTACAGACGTTGGGTAAGATGGTTTTGTCTGTGCGGCAGCCGGAGGCGGTGGGGTCTGGATCGCAGGGAGCAAAGGCAGCAGAGCTCATAAATCCAAGCCTTTTGGATCAGAGCCCCCCCCCCCCGACCCTCTGCCTCAGCCCACCTTCGTCTCGGACGCTCTTCACTTTGTTGACGGCACGTTCTCCGTACTCTTCGGCCAGATGCCGAGCCCTCTTGACCGATTTGCCCAAGAATTTTTTCAGCTGCGTCCTTCAGAAGACAGAGGAACAGCAAACTGTTTTCCTCAGCAAAGATCTCCGACAGTTACACTCATTTCAGAGACGCCTCTCCAACATGTCCCACCCCACCACTGCCTGTTCAAACGCTTGACGGACAGGCTTATGGGGCAAGGCTAACTTTGGGGTGATTCGGACTGAAACCCTTGGTGTCCAACCTCTCTGCAATGGGGTGAGGCCACGACTGCTTTGAGGCCCTGTCCTGTTCGGCTGCTTTGGGGAACGTGGGGGGCAGGGCTTGCAGGGTTTGGGGAGAGCTCTGGCTGGAAGGCCAGACAGGTCTCCTTGCATCCTTGAGATAATTGGGGGACCTTCCAGAAATCTCCGAGAAAGAGGACAAAGACAGGAGGAGCAAAACGGATCCCTAAAAACGTTAATCCTGGTTAGCCTGCTGAAGCCATTCCTATCCGCCCTGACTTCCCCCCAAGCCCCACTAAAGGAGGAAAGAGCAGCCCCCCCTTCACCCTAAGAAGCGGCAGCCTCACGTTTTCTGCTTCAAGCGCCCTCCGTCGGTGTCGCTCTGCTGCATTTTGTCTTCATCGTCCGACTGGGCCCCGTCATTACTGTGCAAGGCAAGCAAGAGGGTTCAATGTCAGGGACCGAGGACCCAAACTTTCAGGGCATCAAAGAGGAAGACTGCCCTGTCCGTGGTGTGCCAGGCTCGGCCTTTGGAGGCACAGATGGCACCAATGGCCCAGACGCGGCCCCTCTCGGCTGCAGTGAGAGGTACCAGGAGCTCTAAAGAGCATCTCGGTGGCTCAGGCGCCTCCAGTCATGATCGGGGGCAGCAACAGAAATTGGCAGGAGGGCACAGCAGCGACGCAGGGGGTCCCTACCCGCCTGGCTCCGTACCTGACGTACTCCTTCGTCCGCCGCATAATATGCAGCGTCAGGGGATTGATGCCCGTGGGCAGCTTTTCCTCCGCCAAGCTCAGGGGTATCTCCTCGCCCGTGTCCAGGTTCTTGATCATGACGCTGGCCAAGATCTCCTGCAGGGAAGGGCAGGAGAGACAATGGCGAGCGTCATCCTTCTGGATCCTTCCAGGGTTGCAGTCGAGGGCTAGAGACGGATTCGGGTCAAGATGCAGCAAAGGGGCAAACTGGAGGGGCAACCGTGTGAGAGAAGGGCCCCTTCTGCCACCAGAGCCACTCTTTCGCCTTGAGGGGCTCCCAGCTGCTCCGAGGGGACAAAGCCACAGCTCAGCTCTGCAGGAAGCCCGGCTGGGAAGGGGCCTGCCTAAAGCCCAGCGCCGGACACCTCCAAGGGGACAAGAAGGGGTACCTCGTCCGTGAGTTCCCTGCCCGAATTCGACCGGGGTCTCTGGGGTCCAATCAGTTCACTTGACACCACCTGGCCATCGGCCGATTTCCCATTCTCCTGCAACGACAGGGTGTGTGTGTGTGTGTGTGTTTAAATACAAAACCGAAAGAGGCGGGAGACCCCAGCCCATCTATCCTGCGGTGCTGCGAAGAGGATCAAGCCAGATCCCAGACTAGAAAAGGGGTTTCTTGGGAGCGACAATTAAGGCCTGCGATATTGTTGCTACCCTCGCAGAGGGGCTGCAATTCTCCCCAGGCCAGGGAGCGAGCGCCCCCCCTAACCACCGCAGCTCTAACCTCTGACCCTGAGAGAGCATGCACAGGATTGCAAGATCGTAAGATATGACTAGATTAGAACACTTTGGAGGGGGGGGGGAGAGCGGGCCTGCTGGCATTCTCAGCTCAGTGCCAATAACACGCAGCCTTCTCCAAAGAAACAGAGGCTCCTGGATCCGGCTGAGCACAGCAACGGCCTCAGCTATCCTGGGGCCAGCTCCCTCTCCGGAATGCTGGCTTTGCACATGCAAAGAGCTTCTAGTCCAGTGTTTCTCAACCTTGACAATTTTAAGGCATGTGGACTTCAACTCCCAGAATTCCACAGCCAGCAATGCTGGCTGTGGAATTCTGGGAGTCGAAGTCCACATGCCTTAAAATTGTCAAGGTTGAGAAACACTGTTCTAGTCGCTTCTAAGGGGCAACCCAGGCGTTTGGTGACCCCCCAGCTCTCTCTCCGAGGCAGCCCATCCTTTCCCCAGAACAGCAGCTGGTGCGCCCTGGCCCAGCCCTGCTCGCCACTTTCTCCCCTTAGGGGCATTTGCTCACCTGAGCAGTGACAACTTTGTCGCCGCTCGTGGCGCTCGCCAAGTCCAGGGAAGGCTGAGAGTCTTTGGCAATGGAGTCCAGGGAGGCGTTGGCCGTCAGGAGGCCCCCCAGGGGAAAAGGCTCCCGAGGAACTGCGGAAGAAACACGGGAGTTGAAGGGGGCCGGACTGACAGGGAAACCTCCGGGAGGATTTGGCTAGGAATTGAAAACTTGCCTTCCAGGCCAGGAATTTTGCTGGTCTCGATTTCCGAGTCGCTTTTTTTCTTCCTGGGTGGGGGGGCGGGCCGGGCAGGGGGCGGTGGCCTGGGGGGTGGGAGTCCCATGGGAGGCGGGGGCCGCGCTGGGCCAGATTTCTTTGTGCTGGCCACGATATCTGGCTCCATGGTCAGCTGTCGGGGGGGTTTGGCCGGAGGCGGCTCATCGGCAGCCGAGAGGCCTTGGGGGAGCGAGGGATCCGTGGACGGCGCCTGGTCCAATCCATCGGCAGTCAGGGGGCCGCCTTCCTCCTCTGGCTGGTCTCCTCTGGCCGCTTTGCGCTCTCGGCCCTCACTTGGGCTTCCTGCGGAGGCCACAGCCTCTTCCCCTCCGGGGTGATCTGCCCCCTCGTGGCTGGGAGGGGCCAAGGCCTCCTGGGGCGCCACCCCGTTGGCCAGACCCGCAGGGGCTTCGTGGGGCCCTTGCGTTGGGGCTTCCGCGATTAAGAGTTCGGGCACGTGGTGGAGGAGGTCTGCTCCGGAGACCCAAGCGTTTGCCTGTGATGAGGGGCTGGTCAGTTCCTTTTGGGAAGGAGCCAAGGGGTCATCCTCCAGCCGATGGGCTTTCTGGCTTTCTTCTATGATGTTGTCAATGATCTGGAGAGCAAATAAAGGCACAACTGCAATCAGACTGCTGAGTTCGCTTAATAACCACTGCAAAAAAGATCGTATGATCAAGCCGGTCACATGAGTGATCCACTTTATGACCGTCATGACTTATGACGATAACGAGCAGGTTCTAAAATGACTGCAAGCCGAGGACTGCCTGTATTGGTTTATAGTAGGAGGTTTCCAAACTTGGCAACTTTAAGACTTGTGGACTTTTAACTCCCAGAATTCCCGAGCCAGCTGGTTAGGGATTTCTGGGAGTTGAAGTCCACAAGTCTTAAAAGTCTATCCTGAAAAAAGTACTGCAAAACAAAACATAAATCATATCAATGTCCGGGATTAAGAGGCGGTGAAACTGCCGTCCCGTATGTGGCTGAGAAAAGCTACTCAACAGTGCTCTGACAGCTGCACATCAGCAATTTTCGGCCTGCAGAACAAACCTCTTTGGGGTCATCTTGCTTGATGTCCAGGTCTTTCCCTCCTTCGTGGTCATCCACCAGAGAACCTCCGCCCGGCTCCTGGAAAACAGGATCACAGGTAACCAGGCCTCACCATAAGAAGTTGGAAGGGCTGAAGTCCAGTGGCTGGGCTGCCACAAGCGATGGGAACTGCGGCCTCCAGCCAGATGGAGGGACGAACTGGAGAAAATTAACGTTGATAATGCGGATATCCTAAAAGCAACTAAATATCTTGGCACTGGCTGCATCCTCTCAGAAAGTTAAAGGCAGAGTGGCATCTGGGACCCATAACAACAGCGGCTCTTTGCCAGTGTTTCTTAATCTTGGCAACTTTGCGTCAGGTGGATTTTAACTCCCGGAATTCCCCAGCCATCATGCTGGCTGGGGGGTTCTGGGAGTTGAAGTCCACTGCTCTTAAAGTTGCTGAGGTTGAGAAGCCCCGATCTAAGGCAACATCGAAGCGGTTGAACCAGAGACAGACATCACAGCCCCCCACCCCCTCTCACCCCACCCTGCCAGTCAGCAGGTTAGAGGACATCAGGTTGGGGAAGTTGAATGATGTGCTTTCAGAGAGGGAAGCACAGGTGGTTTCCTCTCTGCCTGTTGCCCTGTCTGGCTGCCCTCAAGAGGTGGCTGCTGCATGGCACAAATATTGACACAAAGAGACACACCTTCGGTACTGACGGCTCCGTGACTTTGGTTGGCGACCTAGTGGAGAAAAACAAAGACACGGACCAGGTAAGACCAGGAGGAGTAAACCCCCACCAGCCATTGTGCAAGATTCCTTCTCTCCTTCTTCTGTTCATGGCTCTTGCTTGTTCAGCCTATGCCGGTCCCCGTGGAAGATTACTGCAGTGTCCAGTCCATGACACGCCCTCTGTGGTGACCACAAGCCCAAACGTCCCCCCTTATTCACTGGATCTTTTTCGGTAAGGTTTTCCACTGGGGAGTCCCAAGCAGGGGCCAGTTCTGAAGGTGGCAATTTTATTTGCTTTCATTTTGCTTTCACTTATTTTGTGAACATAAGCCCCTGCCTTTCCCAAGTCCCTTGCTGTGCGCATCCCAGCTGGCTGTCACCTCCGAGGCTCACAAACAGAGCCAGCCCCATTGCTTCCTTGCCCTGTTGGGGACAGAGCTGTGTGGCCTCTGAATGCAAAACGTCTACCTTTCAATCAATTAGAATAGAGCTGGAGGGGACCTTGGAGGTCTCCTAGTCCAACCCCCTGCTCAAGCAGGAGACCCTGTACCATTTCAGACCAGTGGTTGTCCAGTCTCTTCTTAAAGGCCTCCAGTGATGAAGGAACTACAACTTCTGAAGGCAAGCCGTTCTACTGGTTAATTGTTCTCCCTGTCAGGAAGTTTCCCCTTAATTCCAGGCTGCTTCTCTCCTTGATTACTTTCCATCCTTTGCTTCTCGTCTTGCCTTCTGGTGCTTTGGAAAATAAGTTGACCCTTTCTACTTTCTGGCAGCCCCTCCTATACTGGAATTTCCCTGCACTGCATTAGGAGGACACGAGAGTCCAGACTGACTTCTGACTGCCCAATGCTGCTGGACCCAAGAGTGACCAGGCCTAAAGCCATCCCAGCCTCTGGGAAGAGGTGATGTGGAACAATGCGGTGTTCTCTTGGCACGGATGGGAGCCTCTGACCGTAAAAAGCTATTTCAGAGATTAGATTTCCCTCAGCCTCTTTGGCAAAAGCAGCAGTAATAGAGCAGCAATAAACCACCCTGCAGGGTTATTTGTGCACAAGGAGGCACAGCCAAGAGAGGGAAGTTCTCCTGAGCACCCAGGGTGAGCGTTGCTACAGAGGATTATAAGACCAGAACTACAAAGGCATGGAACCACGTGTCATGCACAGGCCTTATGCGTTCGTCCTCCAAATTGTATCCCATCTATTCAAATTAAACACTGAAATCTCTTCAGGAGTGACCCATAAAGTTTCTGGCTACATTACCATACACAAATTCAGCTTTAACAAAACAAGCTGAAAAGTTCGAAACAGAGTGTTAAATTAAAGTTACAAGTTATACACAATTCAATAAACACACCCAAACATTTTATAAAACAGTGCTTTCAAGAAAAAAACACAAGCCTTTTTTTTTGCACCAATATAGAAACTCCTTCTCAAGACCGCACAAAACATGGAAATGCTTTCTCGTATCCTTTTTCTCTCTGCACTCTTTTTTTTTCAAAAAAAAAAAGAGACGTGGCCAGAAGTGAGTGGGGCTACCTCTAGCAGGAAGACAATCAGCAACAAATCAGGTTGCAGATCCTGAAGTCTAAGATAAGGCTCAGGAAAGAACCAGCCAGAGCAACAGCTGGCTGCAGAAAAGGATTTGCTTTCAGTTTTTAGAAAGTGCATTTAGGTGCAGCTCTAATTTGGTTTAAGAGCTCTTTGAGAGAGAGAGAAAAAATGCTGATTCCATATCTGCTTCGTTAAAGCAAATATGAATCACCCCTCCTCTCCTGCACCCTGGAATTTTTGAGGCTGAAAGCAACAATTGTGTGTGGAAGAGGCTTATTCAGCACCATGCGACTTTCCATCGGACAGTCTAGTGCAGGGGTCCTGACAACTTTAAGACTTGTGGACTTCAGCTATGCTGGCTGAGGAATTCTGGGAGCTGAAGTCCACAAGTCTTAAAGCTGTCACGGTTGCAGACCCCTGGTCTAGTGATAGACAAGGGCCCCTCTTTGAGCTGCCCACAGCTATTCCGTCAGCAGCAAAGAAAGACTCTAATTCACTCATCCTGAGCAGCTCAACATCTTGCCCTGAGCAGCTGATCAAAAGTATCGGGCTGTTTTCCAATCACCTGCCAGAAGAAACTGACTTAACACAGAACAAAACACAGTCGGTCTCTGGGTATGGTAGTTTTGTTTATTTGCCCTTATTGGGGAAAAATCTCTGGGTCGGAGAAAACATGAGTGCAACCAGGAAAAGGATAAAAAAGGAGGGTGGGATGGGCGCCTGGCCAAGGCATTCTGGGGATGGGCTTGTGTCCAGAGAGGTGTAACGTGCAAAAGCAGAGAAAACGGCAGAGGAAGAAGGGAAGCAAAAATGCAAGGAATGAAAAAGAGGGCTTGTGGAGCAAAAGCAGGTGCTGGGAAGTCTCTTCAAGGTGTGTCTGCCCTGCCACAAGGAGGCCTGAAGGGACAGGAGGGAGGGGACACCTAAGGGCGACTGGAGCTCTCCTGGTGAAATGGAAGACAAAGGAAGTCAGAACTCAGTAACTTTAAGATGTGTGGACATAAAATCCCAGATTTACCCAGCCAGCTTGGGAATTCTGGGAGTTAAAGTCCACATTTCTTAAATTATGTTAGGTCTGGAATCAAAGTCCATGTCTCTTCAAACTTGTTGCTCCGGAATTCTGGGAACTGAAGTCCACCCCTCTTAAAGCAGGCCAGCTGGGGAATTCCCATCCCTTTTAAAGCTGCTGAGGCTGAGTTAGAGGTTGGGGAGTGACTCGGCCAAGGGAAGAGGGATGGAAAGCGGGTGCCAGGAGGGCAGACCCCTAAAGGCAAATGAGGGCTGCAGGGGTGGCGATTGGCCTCTGCACCGGGTCGAAGGTGCCATCCAGCTGGTGATAGTGGGGTTGGGACCAAGAGGTGATCAAGGCTGCAGGGGCACAGAGCGGGTGCAGCCAGGCCCCTTTGGTAGAGGGGGTTCCTGGGGACTGCTGGAGATCTTGGGGGAGGGGGAGAAAGGCCAATCTACGCCTCCCGGGGTAAGGTGGCAGGATTCAACCGGGGTCGGTCCCGGGGACCAGAGCTTTGGCCTTCCCAGCCTTCGGACTCGTGCTGGGAACTTCTCTGCGGCGGGGGGGGGGGGAGACGGGATATGGGAGAGGCGGCCCAGGGCAGTCGCGGCCCGAGCCCCCCTGGAGTGGATGGGGGAACGCCCACCCGCCCCCTTTGCCCGGGGCTTGTGGTGGGGAATTCCTGCCAGGGGGCGGGCAGAAAGCAGACGGGGGGGGGGGAGCCCTGGAAGGAAAGCGGCTCTGCTCGGCGCCGATCGGAAGCGAGGCTCCCGCGGGGCTGGCCAGGTGGGCCCGGGTTCCGCCCTCCCTGCCGGAGCCTAGAGACGCGGGGCCGACGGGGCGGCTGGTGCCGGGCGCCCCGCTCCCGCCCCCCCCCCCGCGAGGAGGACCAAGCAGCGCCCCCCGGCTCCCGCCCCCCCCGGGCGGCCGACTCACGCCGCCGGGCTCCCGCCGTGCTGGGCCACGTCCTCGGACGCGTCGTAGAAGAGCTCCTCGGTATCCGAGTCGGACGCCATCGCGGCGCCGTCGGGGAAGCAACAGCAGCGGAGCGGGCTGGGCCGCGCGGAGGTCTCGCGAGAGCCGGCGAGGAGGCGTGGCCGGAACCAGCTGGGCGAGGCGGGAGCGGAAGCGCCCGCCCACGCACTTCCGGCAAGCGCATCCCGGAACTCCTGGCCCGCGGGGCCCGGCCGCCGTTGCCGCTCTTGCCCTCGCGAGAACTCGGCCGGAGGCAGATATAGGGAGGGGGGGGGAGAAATTGGCAGCCTGACGCGAAGCTGAATCGACTTGGAAACATTACAAGTGAAGGGAAAGCCAATTGAGCGGGCCGAGCGCCAGTCTCGCGGCTCATTGCGCTCGAGCTCCCCCGTGCTTTTACTCCGTTTCACGACATGGTTACAGCAGGGTCTCCTGCTCGAGATGGGGCTGGACTAGGAGACCTCCGAGGTCCCTTCCAGCCCTATTCTGGTCGGTCCGCTTAAATCCCCCCCCCCAATATCTTGTTACAGCGCTCCGTGACGTCACTCTAGCCACGTGACCGCGGAAACGGCCTGGAAACGGCAACGGCTGGCGGAGCAAAATCCGCTGAGACTCCTTTTCCTTCACCTCTGACTGAAATTGTGATTTTCTTTGAATCCCGCGATTTGGCTGCATTTGAATTCTCCTTGGGTTGCGCTCCATCTGAATTCGCCTTCATCTGATTTGGCGCTTCACGCGGAGCCCGCAATCGCCCGCCAACCCGCACTGCCTCTCCTCCTCCCTTCCTGCCTGCTTGCCTTCTCCGGACCGCGCAGGCGCAGTGCTGCATCCGAGCTCGCCATCTTGGTGACGTAAGGGGGCGGGGATCTGGAGAAGGGGGCGGGGCTCCCAGTTCCGGCCTCGGGAGGACTTTTGAAAAGCTCCCGCAGCCGCCGCCGCCGCCGCTGAGCGCGAGAGCGGCTGGCGGGCGTCCTGCCTTCGGGTCGCGCCACTCCGGGGGCCTCGGACGGGCACGCCGACGCGGCGGCTGCAGGTGAGAGGCGGCCGAAGAGGCCCCGGGACGGCGGCGGGGGGGGGCGGCGGCTTTGTGCTCCCTCAGTGACCGCCTGGGGGCGGGATTGCTGGCGCGGAGGGAGAAGCGCACGAGCGCGCCTCGCTGATTGGCTGCCGGGAGCGCGGCGGCAACGCCATTGGCTGGCGCGGGAGCATCGGGCGGGGTCAGGGGTGATGTGGAGCGAGGGTGCTCGCGCGCCTCAGCTTCGGCGCCGGGACGACTACAAAGCCCAGCACTCGCAGCCCAGGCAGGCTCGGCAGTTTAGGACATGTTGTCCCAGCTGACATAGGGGCCCAGGTAGGGATTCCCTGGGGGCTGGGCTTCATTGGGGTGGGGGCTGCTCGGCTTGCCCGTTATGGCCGATACCTCATTGGGGGGGGGGTCTTCGTGAGGCCTGGGGCGGGCAGGGGGAAGAGGGAGGCTGCTTCCAAGGGACTTGGTGGACCATAGTGCTGTGCCCGGAGTCTGACTGTGGCTGAGAGGCAGGAACGGGAAGTTTGCCTCCCCTCGCCCCCCGCCCCAAACACAGGCTGCAGTTTCAAACGGGGTTTCTCAGCTGAGGAGGAGGAGGAGGAGAAGCCCCGCAGTCCTCCACTTAAGACCTCAATTGAGCCACACAATTTGTGAGAAATTTGTTGAGTTTTGCCCCGTTTTACCCCTTTTCTCCCCCCATTTGTGAAGTGAATCCCTGCAGTTCTTCAATTAGTCACACGGTTGTTCAGTGAATCTGGCTTCCCCATTGACTTTGCGTGTCAGAAGGTCGCAAAATGATCCGGGGACACTGCAACCGTCATAAATGTGAGTCAGTTATCAAGCATCGGAATGTAAATCGCTGGACCATGGGGATGCTGCAAGTGTGAAAAACGGTCCTAAGTCACTTTTTAGTGCCGTTGTAACTTTGAACAGTAAGTAAACTTGTAAGTCGAGGACCGCCTGTATTATGGGACAAAGCGTGCCCGTCCCTTCCTCTTCCAGCGGACCCCAAATAAAGTTAAAATGCAAATGAAAAATTCAGCGGGGAAGGTGGTGGTTCCAGCCTTTATCCACATTTAAAAACCTCCTGTAAAGATAACAAATGTAAATAAAGGGATGGTGATTTTAAGCAAACTTCTCAGCTGCTGGTTATGACTAAAGCCTGTTGCAAAGTTTGTTTGTTTGTTAAATTTATTTGATCCTTTGGAGAAAGGAGAAAAGGGCTTTACCGTTATTAAAGAGTGTTACTGTTGCTGTGATTAATTGTGATTAATTGTCTTACTTTATAATCCGTGCTCTACATTCTGGATTTGGGGTGAGGGGATTATGGCTGAGAGAATGATTTTCAAAAAGCCAGGCTCTGGCTGAATCGCATATTTGATAAGAGATTTCTTGGGATAACCAAAGGTCAGTTTTTTTCGTAAACTTTAGTTGGTTTAACTGTATCAGGCAGTCCATTCTGGCTTCTTCAATAAATTAAGGTAAAAACAAACTAACTTTAACATGTTAATGGAAGCTTATTCCGGTAAACCAAGCTAGCCACTGCTCTGTGCGGAGGAAGTTTTCTTCCTTTAAAATATACAAATCCATTAAGAAGCTGGGCAAAACCAGAATTGTGCATAGTAATTAAGCAAGTACTTGGAAAAGTATTAAATGGAGCTGCACCCCTTTTGCCAAGTTCTAAAAAGTTGCTCAGCAACTTCACTTTCTCTTTGCCCCCCTCCTTCCCCCTTTGAGGGTGGAGACAGAACTTTCCCATTCAGTCTGTACTGGGGAATGTAATTCTTTCCTGGCATTCATTGATAGTCAGTTTACCTATGGGAGGTGGGAAAGAACTGCATTTTGAACTTTCTTTCATGAGAGAAAATCAGGAGTCTTGCAAAATAGGCTCTGTTGAATTCTTTCAGGGAAGACTGCTCTGCTAGCCAGGATTTACTTCCTTACAGAGTTCACCCACACACACCCCTTCTCACGGATGGACGCTATATGCAGCCACAAATAAATAAAGTAGTAAATAAGGCAAGTAAATAAATACATAAGTGTAAAAGCTGTTGCCAAAGGGAGATAATGAAATGAACAAGCACACACTGTACCAAAATGAAAACAAACAAAAAAGAGAAGCTATTTTGCTGTCTTCCTGATTTTACATGCTTCCGTACAGAATGTTGCCTGCCACGTGGTGTGTTGTGTCTTGCCAGACAATAGAAGCAGCATGTAGAAATGCATGGGATGACCTGGGAAATCTACTAGCAAGGGTGTGATATAAATGCTGCGTGCCTGGTTATAATATTGGCAAATCAGAAGTACATGGTAGATTATAAACCTCTCCCCATCTCCAGGAGGGCACAATTGTACTGAATGGCGGGAGGGATTTAGTATCGCCTTCCTGGCACTGCTACAGAAGGGCCCCAACCTTGTCAGAGTAAAAGCTTTTCTATGACCCACATAAAAGAGTTATGTAAGCTCCTAGCAAACACCACCATAGCCTAGGAATTGTATAAAGGAAGCTTCTCAATAGCCACGATTGAGGTAGTGGACAAGTGGGCTTTTAATATATTTAAGAGGAAATAGTTGGTTTGTGGTTAATTACAGATGATGATTGTATTGTCTCATGATTGCTCAGTATATTTGGTAGATTCCATAATGCAGTAATTTCTTAGAATCACCAGTTCCTTCTCCTCCTCCTCCCCCTTCTAAAGCAGAAGACTTGTGCAATTAAAAGACTCTTTTTCTTTTATAAGAGGTACGTTGTTTTTTTTCTGATGGTATTGCGCATGTCACTTTCTGAGTGGGGGCAGGTCCTTGGGGCCCAGGAGGAAGACTCTCGAATACAGGTCTTTTTTGACATCCCAGCAACACAGAGCAGTTCTACTAGAGCTGATGGCAGCTGGCTGGTAGATCTTCCACTGCCAGAAATCGGAGCTTAAATGTTCTGGCTGGAGTGCCCAATTTTCTCCTCTTAAATCACCATTAATTTCTCTCTCTCGCTTCCCTTCTTTCATTTATTAGTGGATATTTTTTCTCCCACCTGTTTTTCCTCCTCTTCCAGCACAGACCCCTACAGACATTTGCTTTGAAGATCCAAGGAGCAATTTGATGAGCCACAGTATGAAGGTGATTTTGTCAGCACAGCACGTTGTGGGTACAAAGGCCTAATATCACTTGCTAGAGTGAAGTGATCCTACAATGTAATAGTTGGAAGGGAGCAGCTACTCCACCCTCTGCCCAGTGTAACTGATAAGGTGACAGAACCTTGTCTGGTCTGGGCGGTACAGTGCTGCACTGGGCCACCATAGTGCCCACTTGGACATCCAGCTGCAAGATCCTTGCATGGATAATTGTGCGTTGCACGAGCCAGGAGAGATTCTGTGCATTGTGCAGCAAGGTCTTGCCTCCTGGGGTTTACGACACTAAGAGCTCCAGCCACCAAGGTTCTGCTCCGAGACTCTGATTCTCTGGTGGCAGAGAATTCCTTTCCAAGTCTACTCCTCTCTTGCTGGCATCCTTCACTGCTTGCTACATGCAGCTCCTTTGAGGTACACTCTTCCTTTTAAAATGAGGGATGGTAAATCAATTGGCGGCATCCCCTTACAAGCCCTAAGCAGGCTTGGAGGAATGAGTTACGGCTTGAAATAAGAGGCTGGTGCTTTCCGTGGATCTCAGTGGAGACTCGTATCTCTTGCGCTGATATGGCAGGTGGCCGTTGTTTTTTGGTGTGTTTATTGCCATCACGTGTGGGGAAGAGGCAGGACTGGGAACGAGAAGGCGAGGTGCCTGAGATGTTTTGGGACTCCATGAGTTCTGCCTCTCTTTCCTTCCTGAACCCCTGCAAGGTCAAGTCATCTCACTGTTTGACTAGGGAGCATAACCAGCATATAGATAATGCACATTGCTGTGTGGTATTTTGGGACTGCGTGTCCGGATATCTAGCCAGCTTGTTCAGTCCTTATTTTGGAAGTATATGGCAGAATATTGTTTATTTAACTCCTTTATGGTAGAATCTATTCCTCAAGG